TATCAGTGGGATTATATATATTTTTATAGCAATACCTTTTTAAAGTTATGGAAAAGCACATTGTTCTATTTCCTTGCTGAATTCATCTATCCTGAACTACAAATGTGCTCTACAGAATTCAAGTGTAAAATTGGAACTGTACATACTTTAGAGGCAAGTTCATTTTATAGCCACAATTAAAATTCTAAAAATATGATATATGACAGCTTACCGTGTTGAGAATTTCACAATAAATGGTTGTTGAATAGATAAATATATGAGTATAAGAGAATATTAACTTTATGTGATGTAACCATTTGGTCACATACATCATATCCTTAAATATTGACTTGTGATACCTTTAAGTTCTTACTTTTTTTTGTATTATACAGTTGCTTTGGCTTCTGTTTTTTTGTTATTCAGAAAGTACATCTGAAAAAGTTTAATCGTGTATTAATTAAGAAATATTTAAAAAAAAGAAATATTTAATATGTCTCTAGTATGTGTGCCACAGTCTGCTAGGCATTCTCTGGAAAATGCAAAGAAGTTTCAGATTCTACCATCGAGGAGCTTGCATGGTATTTGGGACATATGCACAGAAATATAATTAGGAGGCAATGTGCAAAAAGTGCCAAAAATTTGGTCAAGACAATACTTGCCTGAGAAATTTAGAAAGAGAAAATGTGATGCGGGAGGTGAAATTTGATCAAATCTTGGAACATAGATAAATTTGAGTGAACGGGAGGGAGGAGAAGTAATTTCAGATAGGTGAGCACCTTGAACCAAGATGTAGGGTGAGAAGGATTGAAGTGTACTCAGATACACATCAGTTAGGACTTTTTTGATTGCAGGCGACAGACAGCCGAACCAAACTGGCTTAGGTAGTTAGGAAATTTATTATTTCATCTAATCTGGAAGGTTCCAAGGTTTGGTCTGGCTTCAGTGATGGATGGATTCAGCACTCAGTCATGGCCTGGTTTCTTTCCATCTCTCCACTCTGCCTCCCTATATTGGTTTTAGTCTGGAGCTTCACATGGTACCAGGATGTGGGAAGCAACGCCAAGCCTACCATCCTTCCAAAATGGGGATTCATTATAAAAGTGAAGTCCCATGAAAATCTCCTTGTGTCCTATTAACTGGGTTGGATGCCCATCCTGAACCAGTCGTGGGTATTGGGGAATGCAGTAAGCTTATGCTTGCTCCTGGGTCACAAACCCATCCCATCCTTGTCCCACCCTCAAAGATGAGACCATGGTCATCTTCACTGGAACCACACAGTGTAGGAATGGGGCATGTCCAAAAGGAAACTGAGGTATGGTTAACTGTAAACAGAATAAATGGATGCTATGTAAGAAAATCAAGTGTCTGCTAATGGAGCATAAGTCTGCAGGTCATTTTGAGTAATTACAGGATCAAGACCCTGGGAGTTTTTCCTGTAAGCACATTGTGAATGTTAGGACAAGGAATTGGGCTTTATGAGGAATTGTAAATAAATTGGACCTGGGGATAATTGACCTGTCAGGTACACAGCAGGATGGACTGGGGGTTGGGTGCTCAAGAGGGAAATAATGTGACCTCTGTGGTATTTCCCCATATTTAAAAAGCTGCCGTGTTTGCAGAGTATCTATTGTGTGCTGTGAACTATGGAGAACACAGAGAGGGTGCCCAAGACTTGATCTTGCCCTTCAAAGAGTCTACAGCGTGGCAGAGAAGACAGTGAACTGGGGGCAATTGTGGTGTAGGCAGGGTGCACAGGGATAGCAATACTAGGTTTCATGGAACACAGAGAAGGAGGACATTCTTAAAATGAACCACAGTCATGGAGCTGGAAGCAGAGTGAGCAGGAACCCAGGGAGGAGAGGCCTATAGACAGGGACCCCCTCTGGAGCATCTTTGCGAGCAAGTTGGTTGGGAGCCCCAATCATTAGTTGTGTAGCCTTTGCGAATATTAGGAGGACGTGGGTGGGTAGGAAACTGCCTCTCTGTCATCAGACCCAGGGCTCCCTTGGAGTTAACAGACCCAGAATGGGATTGTACACCCAGTGGACGCTGGCTTGCTGTCCCTGAAGGAGAGGGGTTCTCGGGCCATCAGCATGGGAAAGCCCTGGTCTTTGGGCATTTGACGGTCCGTGTCTTCTCCCCAGCTCACTCTGGTTGGGAACAAAGGAGTGAGCTACCGGCATATGGTGACTCCATTTTATTCTATTTCAATAGACTTCAGAGTAAATGGGAGAAAATCTCTCAGGCCTTCTGCAGGAGGAGAACTGAATTCTCTTCCTAGTTAGCAATGCAATTCAGGCAAGTCTCTCCACGTGCCTGGGCCTCAGTTTCCCTGCTTGCAAAGGCAGAGCATTGGACAAAGAATGCTTTATAAATTCTCTTTCAATTCTAAGAGCCTATAAATCCAACAGAAACAACCTTCACACCCTTATTCCATGACATATGATCATGACATGATCTATTTCCAAAAATAACTGCTCTGAAGTTACTGGTTAGTAGCACAACTGAAAGCAGGGGAGCATTGGAGCCCCAAAGTTCATCCACTGAGGCGGCGAACATTTAGAAAGCTGCTAACTAGAGAAAGGGGCAGGAGTGGTGAGAACTGACCGGTCAAAGGGGTCAGGGCAAGTGTTGTCCAGGCAGAGAGACAAGTAAGGGAGAGAATGTTGTTGCCCTTATAAGGATCTGGAGAAATGAAAGTGAAAATCAGGGGACTGGAACCATCCAAGCATGGGCTCAGCATTGAGTGCCACCAGCTCCCGCATAAAGTGTCCTGCAGTCTTTATGGAGAAATGGCCCATTTCAGGGGCTGCAGCCAAGAGCAGGACTTGCAGGGATTGAGTAGATTATGGGGAGACACAGTAAATATGGAGAAGGTGCCAACAAGAGGAAGGAGGGAGGAGGGTGCTCTAAGTTCTGATGTGAGCTTTGTTTTGCATGTTTTCCTCTGACCTGCAGTTACTTAGCTTTAAAACTGTCTCTTACATCCAGTTGTGAAGAGGGAAAAACAACAACAACAAAGAACGCCTTCCATTTCTGAGCATCTCAGCCATTTAAAAAGCGTTTGCACGTCCATTTTTACCTACAGCAACTCTAGGACAGCGGGAAGGGATTATTCCTGTTCCTTATTTAACCAAGAACTGAGTAAATAGTTCCCACAGCCAGCGATGGACAGAGCAGAGTCACAATTCCTGACTACAATCCTGGTGTGCTTTTCTTCCCCACACCAGAAAGCCTCAGTCCACTACTCAGTATTTCGTCCTATGCCAATGACTTTTTCTTTCTCAAGAAGGTAGAAATAGAAATATTTTTTATGACTAAGAGGAGAGTTTATATTACTCTTGGATTAACTACGGAATGGTTTTTATGTAAGTCAGACTAAATAGACGTCTGTTTTTTTTACAAACATTCAACTCTACACAAACAACATTTTCAGTTTGCTTTGAAAGCAAAATACCATGTGTCGTAACTTCACAATGTTTTAAATAAAGTTAGGAATTTGGGTTTATGATGCTGAAAATATCATAAAATCGGAGGGTAAGAAGACCAGGAACTACATATATGTGTGTGTGTGTGTGTCCTTAAAAAATTCTGCAAGTAGAAGAATCAAACGTAGACATTTCAACAAACCCGTTATTGCATCATTGTATTAACAATCTAGTGAAACGAGAAGTGAATTATTGAAGTTTATCTTCCTCATTGATTTGTAACTCTGTTCTTCAGTATGTGGATGGTTTTTAAAGCAGAGCAGTTCACCCTAACAAAGCCATTTACTGTACTGGTTCTACTGGCAGTCTTTTTCTCTTTATTACTTCATTTTGGAACTTTGATTGCCCTATTTTAGATCTAAGATTGCTCTAAAGCTATACTGCAATTGTATGAAGGGCTTAGTTTTCACTTTGTTCTCAGAACCAGGCTGGCTATAAATTTATCTCTGTTCTTTGAAGAAGCTAACAGTAAATTTTCAAGAGGAAAAATGGTGGTATATATCCCTACAGAGGAAAAGTAATCTCTTAAAAGCAGAATAACCTCCAGGCTACATCCTTTTAAAGAGGGACTTTCAAACAAGGACGCCTTCAACTTTTATATGTGTTCTATATTTTTCTTTAGGCTTTGTACCTACTCTTCTCTCTGTGTAAGGTTTCTCCGTAATGACCCCGTTCCTCCCCACACCCATTAAATCTGTAATGAAGTCATGCCGTTCCCAATTCTGATGTCATAATAACTTCCAGAGCCACGGCTGGGTAGCACATCCTGAGATCATCTGAGGTTTCATCAGGAAAATGAGGCGGAGAGATCCCGGAGTTGGAATACCTACAAAATCGAATCTCTGTTTCATAAATTACCACATACGACAGTGAAAATGAACTTTGTAAAGTTAAATCCAGGGGAGGGTTTCCATTTGGTTTAATTGCATTCAAAGCAGTTTCCAGTTTCAGGGCATTGGTTTCATTAAAGCTAAACCAGTCCTTCCCAGAGATTCAGCCACACTCCCTCATCAACAGATAATAAGATAATTTCGCATGAGGAGGTGCTAACATAAGAGGATGAGCTTGTGGCTCTGTTTCCATGCCCGACAACTTCATCACCTTTCATCTTTATTATCCAGCCGCCTGGAGCTGAATGTTGATGAATGAGGCACGCCTGGCGTCCTCACGTGTCACACACACGGGCCCGGGGCTCCCATTTACCAGGGGCTCTCTAGCTCGCCTGGGAGCGACCAAGGGGAATAGATGTGGAGCTTGGGGAAGGCCGGGGAGGGGGCTGGCGAGAGGTTGAACCCAGGACATCATCCATCCTGCCTGTGCCTCCTGAGGTCATGACCAGGTGCTCTTAAGAGCTGCTCTGGGAGGGAGCAGAGAGCTCCCCCAACTGTGGTGACTGTTGTCAACACAAGTGAGCCATCATGGACAGTGAAGTTGGCCAGTCTATTCCTCGGACCTCAGAAGGTTCCCGAGCGTGAGTCTTTCACCATTTCCTTCAGCCTAATTGTCCTCTTTCTCATTTTATGCCCCTGCTAGACCACCGCTCTTGATAAGGAGAGGCAGGTTTTCCGACGAAGACGCAACCAGGATGTGAGAAGCCGGTACAAGGCCCAGCCAGCGCCACCTGAACTCAACTCGGAATCGGAAGACTACTCCCCAAGCTCATCCGAGACTGTTCGCTCCCCAAACTCGCCCTTTTAATAAGACCCTTTTACTCGAAGTCCTAGCTTAACCCTTTGAGACTCTGAGATTTTTTTTTCCAAATTTATGTAAAACAGTTTCATCTGATCTATCTGGCACTCAATGCTTGAATGGCAGAACAGAAAGTGTGTTTTCTGGTATCTTTGTAGCGATTTCTCTTTGCTGAATGAGATGACCACATGTTGTTTGCGAATATGGCAACTTGCTGCTAATAGGGTCCTCAAAGGGTTAAGGCTAATTTGCAACTTTTTTAAACATAGAAGCAATGAATGTGTTCATCAGTCAAACTAGGATCTGCAGTATTGTAAGATAGCACGTTAACCCTCTGAGTGCATAGGATTTTATGGAGAACCCCTAGGGAATTTTTCAGGCCTTTGGATGTATACACACACGTTTCTTGATTTTGCTGCAGATCAAGGGATGTTATTAGATGCTGAGATGTCCAGACAAGAAGGACATCTAGAACGATATCTTGCTTGTCATTTTTTTGTGGGTTTAGAAAATAGCAGGCTTATAACTTAGACATAAGACCTCTCTTTCTTCTTCACAATCCCATTTTGAGAGGGACTTTTCTCACTAGAGGTATGACTGTCCGCGGCCTCGAGTCCTGCATCCCGAGTGGAGGCGATTGGGTCTGTGGCAAACAGCCTGACCCAGGAAATACCTGGCGCCCCCTCCCCCACATCGCCTTCCCGTGAAGATGGGCTGGTGACGCCCCAGAAATGCTGCTTCCACATCAGCTGCTGCTAGTGACAGCCCAGACCCTCGGAAGTCACCATACCTTGTCTTGTGCGTGGTGAGTGAGGGTCTGCCTGCTCAGTATGAGACATCTGTAGGGAAAAAAAAAAACAAAACAAGACACAACTGGTGGAAAAGAGCAATAAATTGCCAGGTGCTCTATAGGGCTGGGATTTCAAACAGAAAGAGGAAACAAGATCCTGTTCTTTTTCTCACCCGCTTTTCGTGCGCTGCAGTCTTCAATGTGAAATCCATATAGCGTACGAAATCCGGACAGAGGAGTGCTGGGTCCCAGGGGCCTAGAGGCAAGTGCTTTGCAAGGTGGCTGAGGAGAAAGCGCAAGGGAAGGCACACTCCAGAATGTTCTAAAGATGGGTTTTGAGAAAATAAACCATTGGTAAGAGAATTCCATGTGCACCTTTAGGTTACCTATGTACAGTCTCCCAGGAAGAGCGGGATGGAAGACCTAGAAGATATCCCTGAGAATAAAACTTCCATTCCCTAAGATGACCTTTTGATACCACTGTCTTTAGCTGGCCAGAGAGACATGTTGTTTTTCTCCCTTTGGGCCAAGTCCTGTCTGAGACCTGTGTTTTCACTCCTGTAACCAAACCTTTCTGCCTAGCCCTGTATCCCCCGTGAGTTTCTTCTAGAATGTGTCCCGTTTCAGAACGGGGGGTGGGGGGGGCGGGCTGCGGCCTTGTCACCGCAGTGCTTAGAGAAGAGGCTGGTCATGGCGTCTTGGAGGCAGGGGTCCGACTCAAATGTCCTGCTAAGGTTTGCTCAGCTCTCTGATCCAGGAGACAACCAGTGAGTGATGTCTCGTGAAATTTGCAACCGGGTGGCCAAACAGCACTTGCTGTCTCTGTTTTGAATATACTTCAGTATCTGAAAGTCTTGAAATTTGTATAGTCAGTTCTTTATTTTCAGATACACGTTGGTCTTCAGTCGCTGCTTTTCACTCTTCAACTCATCAACTATGGTCTCTATTAATATACATTTAAAAAATCCCAACATCTCGTGGCTTTTGCAGCAGAGTTTCCCCAGTTTTTTTGCTCTTCTGCATTTTGGTTTATGTCTTTGGTCTGCGTTGTCCTGACATGTAAACAGTAGATCATGTATTGAGAGCTCCCCCCGCCCTTTTAAGAGAGTTCTGCAATGATAGCACACAACGTCACAAAGTGGCACAAATCAGTTGGTTTTTTTGGGGGGTGGGGGAGGGCAGAACACCAGGAAGGGTGTTGATGTGTAGGTAGATTCCATATTAGTGAAATACCTTGAACCGGTCAGAAATTACTGCTTTCTCTAGAACTATAAAGCAAAGCACTATTCTAAGACTAAGAAGTAGCTCTGTAGCTTGGCCTCAACTTTAAATGTGTGAATATGAAGAATCCTATGGGCAGAGACCTACCTGCAGTAGATTGTCACTTTCGTTTCTTTTCTCCGAATTACTGTCTTTCCCGTGGGCATTACATACATTGCTACAGCATCTATGTCCCGAACTTCCAGTGCATGGCTCAGGCCTTTTTCCATCCAAGTCTAGGGGGACCGTGGACCCTGTAAAGCTGGGGAATGTTTCCCAGCACACTGCAGAAGGGCATTTAGCATGGGGATCCCAGCGCATCGCTGTAGAATTTGAGTGATCTGTGCTGAATAAACAGTGGAATGTGACCTGTCAAGTAGAAATATTGAGTAATCAGATGGAATGCATTCTTCAGCATTAAGCTATTGAGATTCTGAATGTCAGAGATGTACTCAGAGGGTTAACAGACAAGCACAAGGCATGTGATTACATTGGTGTATCCGGACTGCTTTGCTTTTAGCCAGTGCTTTCTAATTTTTTTCACAACATTCTTGGGATAGTTCAAGTTTGAAATAATTAAGTGGTGGTGTTCTTTAAGGAATTTCTATAACCAAATCGATCTTATTTTTTATTTCACTTTATCATAGAATAAATATGTACCATTATGGCAGTGTATCTCTGTAATTATCGATCTCATCATTGCCACAGTGTTGCCATATTTTTTTTTCTAAGTATTTAATATAGCTCTTATGGTGGTGGCCTGGTGATGGGGACTGTCTTTCCTTTATTGATACATGACCAACCAGATGGTATTTTCAAGGGAATTTTTAGATTCATCCTTTCAGTTGGGTAGTAGACTGACTAAAGAAGAACTCCTTCATGACTTGCATCGTGTAAATCATCTCTGTAGATGAGAACTGTTCTTATTGATGAACACGTTTTTTTTCTCGACATTGTAGCAGAAATCATTTTCTTTGTCATAATCAATGAATATGTGATTTGCTCCACATCATTAGAAGGAAAAGTAAGATTTCAGTCACTGAAAATGTTTTTACCGTAGCCCTCATCTAACTTACACGTGGTGCATATTAACATAAGCAGAGAAAACAAAATACAAATAAACTGCTAAAAACACTTGGTGTTTTGTATTCAGTGAGCCCTTCCTGCAATGCTCAGCACCCCCTTGGGTGGTGGTTAACAGGCCTGTCAGATATTGTTGAAAGAAAGCAATATATCCATGAATGAAGGCTAAAATTGCAATCCTTTACCCTTTGAGGCACATTTCAGTTGGAAAAAAAAAAAAGAAAAGAAAAGAAAAGAAAAATTGGTTTAGCTTAGAGGGTCACGGAGCTACCGTATGACCAAAGCTCGAGCACATTAAATCACGGTTGTTTGCTGGCCAACGGCGCCCATTAGACAACTGTGTACCCCGCGCTGAAGTGCAATTGTGCTTGAGGGACAGCTTCCCTAATATTATTGTGTTGCCTGCTAGCCCTTCTCAGGGTAAGGATCTGTCAGCATTTCCATGATAAACTTCTGTTTTCAAAGGTTTTTAATTTGACCATAAAAAGGTGCCCCGGGCTGAAGTTTGCTATATAGGGCCTGTACCAAAGAGGGTGAAGGGTCACTGCCTTCTCTTTTCTGCCCAATTCTCCCTAGAAAAGGGCAGCAACCACAACAAATTTGGTATGTCCCCTTCTTCACTGTAATTGCGGAATTGTGGAAAGCACCAAGATCCAAAATGGTAGTTTCAATGTAATGATTCATTTGGATGTGGGTTTAAAACAACATGAATGAGTCACCTGGCATATACTGTAGATAACATATCTTTTCTATAATTTGTAAATCATTAATTTTTTAAACTGCTACATGATTTTTTTTTTTTTTTGGTCCAAAGATCTTCAAGAAACTTGAAGTTGGTCAGTTCAAAGGTTAGCCTTTCCTGCGTGTTGTCTGCTATTTCCATTAGGAGTTTGGGGAAAATCCTTTCAGACCGACCCTTACTTTGCATGTAGTGATAGAGGGTCAGACAAACGCTTCTTTTGGAGATATGGATTTCTTTATTAAATCATCAGGTTTCAGGAAGCCATTCTTGTCTGTTGGGAAAAAACAGTGATTAAAAGCACTTCCAAAAGTAACATTTTGTCAATTCAGATGTGAAAAGAGCATAAATGAACACACTCTACACTTTTTTTGTTGTTTAAAGGCAAATAAATCAACAAAACTTGAAGACACTAAACATTTGATTACTGCAAATGTGCTTTAAAATTGGCTCAATGGTGCTTATACATAAAACAGTAACAAATGGGGTTCCTAGGACTGTCAGAAGGAATTTTTAATTTGTATGTAATTACATACTTGAGGAGGAGGTGCTTTTAAGCCAGTCTTTTATTTTTTATTCATCTCAAATATGCAACCATTCATCCAGTAACATTAAGGGTCCTAAACTGGTGGGAAACAGGAAATTCAGTGTAGAGGCTTAGAATGCCTCTGGCTAGGGTGAGTTTGGGTTTTGTTGTTGTTGTTGTTGATGACCGAACTTCTAAACGGCAGGTGTTTTGATCATGAGGTTTGCAGTATCTTGCCCTTGGAGACAAATGAGAAACCTAGTTTCATTCTTTTCCCCCAAAGGAAGGGCAATCTCTGTAATTAAACCCTACCTGTAAATTTCCTCAACATTCTTTTTTGGTCAACCGAAATGAGACCCTTAATGTTGCTTTAATGTAAAATTGTATATTTTTGTCTGTGATATACTTTATTAATTTAAAGTAAATAATAGTTCTAAAAGCCTTCACTGTTGGTATTAAGAGAAAGTAGGATTTTAAAAGTGATGATAAAGATGCTATAATGTCAATTCATTCCAGTCCAATCGAATGTGGTAAGAAAAAGACCTTGAGTAGTTCTCTAGGGACAATTTCTCACTTGCCATTGACATTAATCTTCAATGTATGCTCAGAAA